ACCAGGGCTGGAATCGTTCTAGAGGGTCCATTCATCTTGTTTCTCAAGTTGAGCTAATATTTTGTGAATCAGCTTGGAAACTTCCCATGTAAACTCTCTGTGTCCCTCTGTGTTCCTCTGGGGTCCCGGTTACTTTACCTTTAAAGCATATGCAGCATCTCAGAAAATAGAACCAAGAGTGTCCCATCACAGTTAATAATGTCACTCTATGTTCCTACCATCCTCTCTGTAAAGACATACATCTGTATATATTGGTGGGTAATTTGTTGTTTATTTCATTCCTTTTACATTTTTATAGAACTCCTCTGTGTATGGCTGGAAATAAGTTACAGAATGTCTCATGCTTGTGCTTCCGTTGTAAATTGGCACAGATCACTTTATGTTCTGGGGTTGCAACATGCCCTTATAAAACTGTCTTGGAATATTTTAATATGAGGTTGAGTTGTTTTTCAAAAAAAATCAAGATTATTCAGATCCTCTGTGTCTCCTCCTTCTGGGGTCTCATACAGAGATTAGGGTCACTTCCTATGATTTGCCTGTTATTTTCTACAGAAGACCTCATTTTTAGATTTGAAACTTCGGATGTTTCGGATTTTTGCTGAAGAATCTTACTACCATGACAAAGTTTTTGATGTAGTTTATGCTTCCGGCCTAATTTTTTGCCTGGCAGAAATTAACATTTAATAATCTCAAGCAGAGACATTTTCTAAAAGCACTTTTCAAGAAAAAAAGGTCAGAAATCAGATACATCAAAGCAGCAAACAAACTTTTGCATCAGAGAGGAAAATCATAATTGCTTCAAGCAAAATATTTGAATGATTTCAATATCAATGTCAATATTTTAATATCCTTACTACAGGGATTTCTTTTTAAGTCCTCAGCACAGCCCTTGACTTCACCTTACATTGAATCATAATAATCATAGTATGTGGTTTGAATAGTAACCATTCTCTCACAAATTGTCAGGTTATTCCGAATACCTAGAGGTTTAGTCACTGACTCCTTGAGCCTCCACTGCCATCTTCCTAAGTTTGGTCTCGGGTGACAGAAGCCCGAAGTAGTCTATAGGACTACTATCGGGACCACACTTTGAGGACCAACAATCTCTAAAACTATGTAGGGGCCACAGCCTGAATTCAGAAACTTGTTCCTATTAAAAGAAGAAGAGATATAAGAGCTCAATGAGGAAAACTGAGAATAGTAGCAGTAAGAATAAGGTAATGAGTGAAAGGAAAAAGAAAGACCTTTGAGGAACAATGAGACGTTTCCCCCAAACTAACAAGAGTCACTGAAACCTGCCTATACCAATGGATTGGAGAGGAGGAGGGCAGGGAATCTTACTTTTAGTGAATGTCTTCCGTGCAACCTGTCGTCTGATCTAGTGCTATATGTTTATGTATAGATAGATAGATAGATGATATAGAATATGCTGTAAATATCTAGATGTATAGAGAGATGTGTGCATATATGGAGAATGGATGGAGAGATAGATAGATAGACAGACAGAAGTTCTGCTCTGTTCCAAACAGGTTTGAAGAGGAAGGTGTACTAGGTGCTCGCATCTGCATACGTGACTTCAATCCTCATGACAAACTTTTAAAAATATATACAGAGACAGAAGAAATAGCTGAGGCTTAGAGTAATTAAAAAAAATCAGCTCTAGGACTGTTCGATATCAGAGCTCCAAAATCCATGCTTTGACCAGTCAGAGAGCCGGACACAAGTTAAAGAGGATAGATAGGGGCATAAAGAACTGCGTTGGAGCCTGGGATAAGACAGTGCACAAGAAGAAATTAGAGAGGAGGATGTGGCAAACATGTGGATAGGTCCAGGAAGAAAGGCAGAGGAAAATGCAAGTCCTGCCAGGGCTGCGGTCCAAGTGGATAATTCCAGTCCTGGTAGCAATTAAGAGGTGACCCATTTGGCAGCGCCTGCCCCTCTGCAGGGGGGGTTGTTGCCACTCTCTTTCCTGCCAAGAGTGTTTCTATAACCTTTCTGGCTCTACCCAGAGTAGCCTGGTTCTATCCAGCGTGGACGACTCAGTTTTCACCTTCCCTAAACCAGCAATGCAGCAAGAGACAGTCTGCGGGACTCTACATGGGAGAAACTGTATAGCAGAGACTTGGGGACCCTGGCGATACCTGCCCCCACTCCTATGGGGACTCTGAGTCAATGGTACTCCACGTCAAGTGCCTTCCTCCTCTTCTGGATCTGCTTTTGGCTCTCTAGATCCTTTTGAACCTCCTTCTCTGAGATGATTCCTTGAGAAAATCCTCTAGTTACTTGCCTAGACGAAATAGGTTTGTCAGAGACTGTCAATTAAACATATGGAAATAAAGGGTAGGGACAAGGCCTTATAACCTACCTAAAATTGGGGGAAATTATGATACATATTAAAATAGGAGAAAAAAAAAAGAAGTTTATATTCACTCACCTTCGGCCTCATCTTGTACCACCTGTCTTCTCTCTCTTGACTTGCAAGGTGTCTTGAACATAGTCAACCCTCAGTAAACCTTTTTTGAATAAATGGATTGATTAATGAATATATGAGAAAGAAAAGAGGAAAAATTTATTTTTCTTTTTTTAAAAGTTTTTAAATATTTTATTTAAATTCAATTTTCCAACAAAGAAAAGGATAAGTTAAAAAATATAAAATCCTAAGAACCTTGCTTTTATTTCGAAATTTTCCTACTGGGTCAAGTAAGAAAATTGTTACAGACCCGGTGGCTTGATAAATGCTTGCTTTCGGCATTGTCTTTGGAGCCAAAAGAGTTGCTTGGGAGAAGGGGAGAGAACTCAGAGGGAGGAGGAGGTATGGAAAGTCTCTGTTTTCCAACCAATGTGTCGGACAATGTCGGTGGGCAAGAGAAGGTGACTGTGCTGAGGCTAATATGCCTTTAATCAGACAATGTATACCTATATCCTAGCACAGTGGCTGGCACAAAAAAGATGCTCAATAAGTTTTCATTGAATTAATGAATAAAAGTGATGTACTTACTTTACCATATATCCTCCAAGCTGCAAGTAACCGTTTGTGGTTTCTTCCTTAACGCCGCATGGAAGATTGTTTTTGCCTGTGTTTAGCTGAATGTTTTGATCAAGGGAAAGAAAGTCAACATGTCCTTTGTCACAGATTAGACCTCATCATGCTGTTTTAGCCAGAACTATCCTAAATCCAGTTTAGAAGAGCAAATTTATAATTCTAATTCATATGTATCCTCTGAACATCCATGAAGACTATTTTCTTTCAAAGTCACTAGATTTCTCTTTTCTTAAATCTAATGTAGTTGGTGGAAGAGGAGTTTGTTAGGGAAGCAACAAAGAGTTGAATTATAGTTTAATATGGATGGGGGGATCCCTGGGTGGCGCAGCAATTTGGCGCCTGCCTTTGGCCCAGGGCATGATTCTGGAGACCTGGGATCGAATCCCACGTCGGGCTCCCGGTGCATGGAGCCTGCTTCTCCCTCTGCCTATGTCTCTGCCTTGTCTCTGCCTCTCTCTATCCCTCTGTATGACTATCATAAATAAATTAAAAAAAATTAATATGGATGGGAATGCTGATGTGTTCTTGAGCATTTTCTGCTGGGGCTCACTTGGTTCCAAGGGCAGACTATGTGGTAAGCACTTGCATGAAAAAGTGAGCAGTTTATCTCACTGGACTGAAAGAATGTACCCAAGCTCACAGGGTCCAGGAGCATGGCAAGGATGGTGTGGCAGAGATTCAATACTCTCTTATGGGATTAGATAATGGGGAACTGGAGAACCTCTTCCTGGCATATTAAAAAAATGTAATTGTCTGCTAGTTCCTTGAAACTCCTCTGTGAGAGTTTTAATTATTCAGCCCAGGGATGGCAAATACCTCGGCTTGTGTGCCAGGACAATATATTGGTAATGGCTGCTGGAAATCTATTATGGGGAGACTTATGTGATCATATTTGGGCTCATTAAGAAAGTGTTGTCATTTATACTTCAATTTTAAAAAGAAAGAAAGAAAATGTTGTCATAAATTGGCAATGTCAGCTAAGATTTTTGGAATGGAGATTGGTGGCATGCCACATTATTTAATATCCTTTCTTTAAAGCTTTTTCTCTCTCTCTCTTTTTTTCTATCTCTCTCTCTCTCCCTCTCTCTGGTCTTGTAAAAATATAAAAAATTATATCTAAAAATCCATTTAATCGTACATAAACTCTGTGAGGTAAGTACTGTTATAATTTTCATTTTGTTTTCAGATGAGGAAACTAAAGTTACAAACCTATTATTTCCCCAAATATTAGTGCTACACATGCCTAACTAACTCCAGGGCCCAAGCTTTTAACAAACATGTCATCTTCCCTAAGAATTCTGGAGTGGCTAAACTGTTATCACTCATTTATACCCTAGAGTAAATGAGCTTCTCTCTGTTGTTTTACCTAAGAGAGGAAAATATAAAAGATTCATGAGGTCAGCAGGGCTGACGACAAAAGACTGATTCTCAGTCTAAATATTGAAAATATGGCTTAGTATATGACTGCTCTAATGAAGGAAATATGGATTATTACTGGAACAATCTGAGGATAGAATGCAATACATCTCTACCATTCTTACCTTGAGATCCAACTCAAGAAGAAGAACTATTCTTAGATGAGATTTTTCACCCCTTGCAATTTTTCATTCTAAAAGCAAAGATGTTAATCACTATGTCCTAATGATATTGTAAATGAAGATAATTATACTTTGTTTTCCTTAAACACTTAAAGTGTGTTGTTTTAATGGGATGATCTCACTGCTTATGGAAACACATTATTATCACTTTCCCCAAGTCCTTATTTCTGTAATTAACTGCTAAAATAATTTGTAAATACAGAAGTTATAGTGTCCATGTAAAAACAGTTTGGATTTTACCCAAAGGCAGGGAAAAATACAAAGTGAAACAAACAAACAAAAAACTTCTAATATTTTTAGTTGGTGTTAGAAACGTCCGAATGTAGTTTGACTTTCTCCCTATTCTTTTCCTTGTACAGAAAAATCTATCATTGCTCAACCAATATTTGTTTTTGCAAAGAGAGAACAAACTTTTAAGGTAAGCTCGAGCTAATTTTCTTTGTTTGATTTTCACTTTGGCAAAGAAAATTGTTTCAAGAAGCTAGTGAGGCTAAATGATATACGATTGCCTTAGTTTATCCACTTGCTCTTCACTTAGCTGAGTTGTGCCTCTAGAATATTTATATAGTGGGTTTTTACTGGTAGCAATTTGGCCAAAATGGGAGGCCAGAGGCCTGCCTTGTGTTGAAGCTATGAATAACACGTCATCTTTACCAAAATTATAGGGTTTTTTAGTGACTTGGAAAAGGGTGGGACTGAAAGAGGTTAGCAGGGCAGAGACTCCACATGGGTCTCCACCACTGACCTAGCTTACAACTGGGTGTAAAGTCCTAAACTGGGATGCTTGACTTAAAAGTGAACCTGTCAGATCTTATTTGGAATTGACATTCTCTATTATAATTTTGTTCCTGTTGATTTTTAAATTTTATTTTTGTTTTGCTAGAAAGGAAAGATGATGCTCAGTTTTAAACGTGAAAAGTGTACAAGTTACTTTCTTACAATAAAACTAAATGTGTATACAAGACATAAAAATTAAAAAAAAAAAAAAGAAAAAGGATCTGAAGGACCCTACCTGCATCACACTAAAACCACCAGCTATGAAAGACCAATGATAAGATTAGTAGCTTTCCACTTTAGCTTGATTGGTATTTTCCTGTTATTTGGTCCTGCTTATGCAAGTCATTTACCCTCCTACCCACAAAACTGACTAAAGAAAAGCTCAACCCCCAAGCCCCAGTCAGAGAAAAGTCCATTCCCAGACCAACAGCTCCAGATCTTGAGAGCTGGTGTTTCCAAATCTTCCTTTTAAACAATTTCTTTTTTTTTTTTATTGGTGTTCAATTTGCCAACATATAGCATAACACCCAGTACTCATCCCATCAAGTGCCCCCCTTAGTGCCCGTCACCCAGACACCCCCACCCCCTGCCCACCTCCCTTTCTACCACCCCTTGTTTGTTTCCCAGAGTTAGGAGTCTCTCCTGTTCTGTCTCCCTTTCTGATATTTCCCACTCATTTTTTCTCCTTTCCCCTTTATTCCCTTTCACTATTTTTTATATTCCCCAAATGAATGAGACCATATAATGTTTGTCCTTCTCCGATTGACTTATTTCACTCAGCATAATACCCTCCAGTTCCATCCACATTGAAACAAATGGTGGGTATTTGTCATTTCTAATGGCTGAGGAATATTCCATTGTATACATAGACCACATCTTCTTTATCCATTCATCTTTCGATGGACACCAAATCTTCCTTTTAAACAATTTCTGACAAGGCATTCTACAGTCCCTGAAATACAAAACCGCTCTACTGAGGCTTTGCTTTGTCTTGAATATGTGCCTAGCGAGTGAAGGAGTAAGGGTGAGAGGCTTTGCCCTGGCCTAGCTGAGCAGACCTGGCTTTTGAGAAATCTCTGATGGAGCCACAGGGTGGAATTCTGTTGTAAAAACAGCAAACACTCAGCTCTCACTGGCAGCTTTGTTTCCTTCCAGAGACCTGCAGAGGACTCCACCTATGAAGCATCAGAACATGGTAAGGACTTACCTCTGGGATTTCCAAACCCAACTTCCTACAAGGAAAATACACAGGCACAAATATTTGGGCATGTGGCAAGATGTAAAACTTCATGGTTTTTCTCATGTTTAAACACCAAATTGGCTCTTGTTTTGAGAGATGACACACCGGTCCCCAGAGCACTGACGTTAGTGACGCTGAAGGCCCTCATCTCTCCCTTGCCCTGTGTCTCAACCCACCAAACAGTCTCTTTACCATCTCAAAATTCACATGCAGTTTCTTGCTGAAGTCACTTGTTTCTCATTGTTTCTTATGAGGCTGGTGTGCCTGTAGCTCTTTGGCCACCAAGCTATTAAGCCCGGCATTTAAACTTGGCCTTTGGGAGTTAACGAGTTATCAGATGATGATCTATGCAGGCAAAAGGTAATTCTGTTTATCCTTTGGTTGAGGATAGCTTGTCATTGTCAGCAGTTTTACTCATCATGTTGAATTTCTTGCAGAATGCAATGGTTTTCTGAGAAAGCGCGTAAGGTCTTCATCTTTTACTTTGCACACTACACATCCTCAGTCCCCAGGAGGTAGGTATAGTCCTGAGTGTTGTCTGTTCACCGTTCTGTTTTCTCTGAGTGTGAAAGCACTGAGAGACTTTTCAAATGGAAAACGTTTAAGCCCGCGTTTATAATAAATTATTGCGTGAAAAGAGCAGTCTATAAAATGGATTGTATAGCAAGTCACTTTAAAAATTCAATTTATCAGGGGCACCTGGGTGGCTTAGTTAGTTGAGCCTCTGCCTTTGGCTCAGATCATGACCCCCCCCCGCCCCCCCCGTCCCCCCCCCGTCCCCCCCCCCCCCCCCCCCCCCCCCCCCGTCCCTGAGTCTGATTCCCTGCTCAGTTGCTCAGTGGGGAGTCAGCTTCTCCCTCTCCTTCTGCCCCTCTCCCGGCTCATGTGCTCCCTCTCTCGTTCTCTCTCTCTCACTCACTTTCACTCTCAAATAAATAACAAATCCTTAAAAAATACAAATAACTAAATAGAAATTCAATTTATCAACATTGGATGAAAGATTGAAAGGACAGAAGCCATAATGTCAGCAATGGTTATCTTAGGTAATGGGAGTGCAGGTGATTTGGGGTTTCCCACCCACTCTGCATTTTGTTGTGCTTCCAAAGTATCTGCATTAAGTATGTATTAGCTTTGTAATTAGGGGAAACTGTCATTTCTCCCTGAGTATCCATCTACTTAAATAGATGTCTGCCTTGAAAAGAACCCTTTAGGAACTTCAGCACATACTGTATTCTGAGTAAATCAGTAACTTAGTTTGCCTCTCTCCTACACTCAAAGTACTCCGTGATTCCTTTTAGAAATGACCGCATTAAAAAAAAAAAGAAAAGAAAGAAATGACCACATTGCCTTCTGCCTTGTAATACAGCTGTCTCTGTGTATGTCTGTCTCTTCCATGTGACTTCCTTGAGGTCGTCTTCATACATGATAGAGTGTCTTACACATGGTGATCACTCCTATATTTATTGAATCAAATAGAAATTAATTTATAATTCCCACCATAGGCACATTTTATTTCTATTGATAACAATACAAAACGTTTTCTAAATCAGTGATACAGAAATCTTCCTGAAACAGCAAAAGTCCAAATCAAAAGAAACACAAAAACCCACTTCCTCACTGACTTCAGTTTGCAATTTGCTTCTAGCATCAAGCTTGTCCCAGAATCGAATGAGATCATCATCCTTCACCAACCTCCTGACCTTCCCCCCTTCTGGGCCAGGTAATAAACAGCTTCTAGAACTTTGAGCTTGACACTCTGACTTTTCAAAATCCATTCTCACGAATGTTGAGCTTTCCTACTCAGCTACTATAAAATGCTGGCATTGTAGTGGCAAATAAAATAGAAGCCTTTGCAAAGTATGATTAGAAGAATCCCTTATGAATTCCAACTCCACAAATCCAAGCAGTGTATTTGTTTATTTTTGGTAGAAATTTTGAACTTGATGATGTTTTTAAGGAATTCATGTTTATGATAGTAATATGTTATATAAGGCAGCTTTATAAAATAACTTGCTTTATTTTACTTATTATTGTTCATCTGTACAGTTTATAATATATATAGTACTCAAGGGTACCCAAGTGGCTCAGTCAGTTAAGTGTCTGCCTTCAGCTCAGGTCATGATCCCAGGGTCCTGGGATCGAGCCAGCATTGGGCTCCCTGCTCAGTGGGGAGCTTGCTTCTCCCTCTGCCCCTCCCCCTGCTCATGCTTTCTCTCACTCACTCTCTCTCTCAAGTAATTAAATCCTTAAATATATATATATTTAAATCCTTAAATATATATATATATACACATATATACATAGAGTACTCAAAATATATAGCTATGTTTTAAATTCTTATTCTAAAGTTTATGCTTTAGGTGAATGTATCTAAAGTTTAAAATGTGATTCCTTTTATTTTTATTTATTTTTTTAGAATATGATTCCTCTTAAACTTTTCACTAATTAAAACATTACTTCTTTTTATTTGAAATTTGTAGTGCTTTGCTAAATAAATATTTTATCGTTATAAAATATTTGAAATGGTTGGAACATTATATTAAAATTACAATTTATAGAGTGACTAGGTGGCTCAGTGGTTGAGCATCTGCTTTCAGCTCAGCTCGTGATCCTGGGGTCCTGGGATCGAGTTCCCCATCCTGCTCTCCGCGGGGAACCTGCTTCTCCCTCTGCCTGTGTCTCTGCCTCTCACTCTGTCTCTCATGAATACATAAATAAAATCTTTTTTAAATAATTAAAATTTACATTCTTTTTGTTCTTGTTTCTAATGAACAACCAGCTGCCTTTTCCATGTGAAGCTTGCCACTAAGAAATTAAAAAAAAAAAAAAAAAACTATTCACTTCCTTTTAACTGATCCCTCTCTACCCGGGAGCCACAGGGTTTTCAAACTAATGAATTTATATTCTTATTAATAATTCCAAATATGACTGAGTACCATGTATACTTTTCAGATACAGAAGAAATATTTTCAAGTTCAATAGGCCCCATTTAAGCCTGACTAACAAGTTGTAGACATTAAGAGGAATAGGGGTCCTAATCCTAGAGAATTTGTTTTATTGTATTTGTGCATAAAGTGAAGGGATGGCTCTAAGTTATCTGAATAACTGCTTCGATTCATTATTATTTTAAATTAGACATACACTGACATCAGTAAGTACCATTCCATTTTATGTTGTGCAGAATGTTGGTGGTACTGGAAAGGAGAAAATGGCACCATTTTATAAGCCCCATTTGTTGCCGGTTTTTAATCATAAAGATCATAAACCATTTAATTGAACTTTGAATTAGAGAAGCAATTCTATGCCCAGCATTTATAATGTTTTAATACTCGGAAGAAGCAATTTTTATTCTCTTCTCATTTCCATTAATCAAATGCTCCAAGGTTGGTGTTTCTGCCATTTGCAACCAAGAGGTAGGTAATCTCTTTGAAATGGATAGTAATCCTATACTTGCAGCCACTACCATAGTCTTTCGCCACCAACACATTTCATAGAAAAATCACCTAGCGTGACAGTCATCTCTCTAGAGAGGAGAGGGACAAAAAATATATATATATTTTTATGTATTTTTTATAAAATGTTATGAAACCATTAGCAAATCCATATATATATATTTATATATATATATGTGAAATACGCAATTTATATATATAAATATGAAATACGCAAATCCATATATATATGGCCCCATTATATATATATATATATATATATATATATATATATATATATATATATATATAATACGTATTAATGCACCCAGAGGCTTCACTACCACCAGATTTTGTAGTCGGTACTCATTTTCATGATTCTAAAGGAGACTGCCTATTCCATTAGTGGACCAATTTTCACTTATATTTCTGAAAGTAAACAGAACTATGTGGCAAAACTCATTGCCATCACCCATTTTTAGCGGACCTGCTTTCTCTGCGCACTACCTACAGTTATTAGTGCCAACAGCGACATCTACTGGTGAGTTTAGTACAAGGATTCTTAAAACCCAAATCCTATAGAAACCAACACTTAGATTTAAATGTGTTAAAATATTTTTTCTTACAGTGAAGAAAAACAATGTTTTTATGACATCATCTCTTGTGCAAAGGAATGCTGACATGAACAGTACAGAACAAGGTATGTAGTTTATTACAAGAACCTCTGAAATTTTACATTTTACCACTTATATTTTACTTTGTTGTGTGTGTGTGTGTTGGGGTATGTAGGTCCAAGTGACAAAACATGAAAAAACATATTTGGTAAGCCAAGTCCCATGGCCAAAATGAATATTTATTGGGTAAAAGATAGGTCAGAAGTAAGCACTAAGTGATTCACTGGCTATTTTGACATTGAGCAGTTAACATTAATCCCTCGTCTAATGATGACTTTAGAAAGTAAATATTAAATTAGCCAAAAATATGGAAGAAGAATGGGGTGCCTGACTGGCTCAGTCTGTTAAGCATCTACCTTTGGCTTAGGTCATGATCCCAGGGTCCTGGGATGGAGCCCCATGTCAGGCTTCCTGCTCAGCAGGCAGTCTGCTTCTCTCTCTCCCTCTGCCTCTCCCCTTGGCATGTGCTCTCTCTCTCTCTCTTAAATAAATAAATAAATAAATAAATAAATAAATAAATAAATAATCTATAAAAAACACGGAGGAAAAAGTATTTCACTAAAGACATTGACCCTTTAATTCTGTTCCTTTAAGGTCCTGTGAAACATTCTGAACATGTTCTAAGACCTGCTATTTTGCAGCCACCTCAAGCTCAAAGGTGTGAAAAAATGAGAAAAACATTTGGACACAATTCCCTGGAAGCCTGCAAGACCATAGAAAAAACAAAAAATAAGGTAAGAAAACCTCCTGGAGTGGGACCGATATCAATTCTCCATCTTTCATTTGGTAGATTGTTATGGGCTGCCTGACTTTTGTTCTGTTGCTGAAGCAGCTGCCAGGCTGGAGAAACACCCCATCTATAGATGGCAAACAGTCCTTGGTAACCTTATTAAAAATGTTTAATTAAACAATTGTTTAATTAAACAAATTGCAGAGTTGTTCCTGGGAAGTAGTTTTGTGGTGTCTTCTAAGCTGTAAAGAGGAGTCCCTTGTGGTGGAAACCTCTGGGGTCTTGTTCCAGTGTACTGACCTCACAAGAGAATAGGAGGAGCAGAGAGGTGGCCAGGAGCAGGAGCCAGAAGTCAAAAAAGGAACAAGGGTTTTCTGCATCCCCAGCTGGTCAACATCCTTGTGTGCTTTGCCAATTCAGGTCACACCAGGGATCTATCTAGACCCATCTTCGTGGATAATGGGAGCAGGGACCTACCTGCATAGGGTAGGGATTTGGGAGGGCTAGGGAAACTTCTGAAGACAAAGAATTCTCCCTTCCAATTGTTGTAGATAGCTGAATCTCTCATTGTGGGCCTATCTAGCCACACAGATATGTGTTTGGGGATATTCTGTTGCTGTGTCTTCCAAAAGGCAGTACTTGAGAGGAATGGCACCCAAGATTTTCAGAATAATTCCACCCTTCATTTGTTTCCAGGTGAACTGTTGAGGGTTGGTCACCTGTTTTGTTTTTCCATACTGAAAATAGAGACAGTGACAAATGGAAATGAAAAATACCAGTCATTTCATTCATGCAATGAAAAAAGATCCATACTAATCCAACCTCTGCTCCTATCCAACTATGTTTATGTTCTAGGACAAAACACCCAATCTTCTCTTTTTATCAGTGAAGTGAGAGAGTTGAACTTGGTCAGTATTTGGCATTGGCAACATTTTTATAATTCCAAACAATTTCCTTTGTAAGAACTGATCTCATGCGACCCATTGTGAATTATAAAAATCATTTCATCATTTTTGCATGGCATATGGTATGATTTTTAAGTAAAACATGTTTTAAATTTCAAATCAGTAGATTATTAAAAGTTTTCATTTAAATATAACCTAATAATCGTAATCATATCACACAAATTCTTTTATCCATTTAAGTAGTGAGACATGTTTCATTTGTGTTAAGGTATGTAAGAGAAAGTGTGATATGTCGACTAATTTTTAAAATACTATATTGCATATAATTTTGGAACAGAATGTACTATAAATTATAGATTAAAATTTTTATTATGGGGACGCCTGGGTGGCTCAGCGGTTGAGCATCTGCCTTCAGCTCAGGGTGTGATCCTGGGACCCTGGGATCGAGTCCTGCATCAGGTTCCTCATAGGGAGCCTGCTTCTCCCTCTGCCTATGTCTCTGCCTCTCTCTCGTTGTATCTCTCATGAATAAATAAATAAAATCTTAAAAAAATAAAAAATTTTTTATTATGTTATGATATAAAAAGTAAACCAATATTTCTTCTTTGGGATGGCTTATTGAAATCTTGCATTATGTATTTGAAAAATAAAATTTGTTAATATTTTTCTTGCATTTTCTCTCTAAATGATAATAAGAGAAATATTCAGGTAATTATAAGCATTTCTTCTTTAACCAATGTATTAAACATATGAATAGCACTTTTTCCTAATTAGTGAACAGCTTAACTGGATATGCCTGTTATTGAATTTTCTCTAATAATGACCTTTGAAGATTTAAGGGCATGCTATATAAGATGCAATGTAAGAATTCTGACAAAATAATGTAATTTCTAGATCTAGTGAAAATTACCTCTAGATGAATTTCATTGAGCTTTTATTCTCATGTTCCTTAATGACTTATATATAAATAAGAGCAATTTTTATTCATTCTGCCAATAATCAATGGTCACTTATTATGTACAATTTAAACAATATATGCCTAATAAAAAGTACTTTAGTACATATGAGTAAAAACTACCATTTTGGCTGAGAGAGAAATCATCCGAGTGACTGAGTCATGGGCATACACTTTGATCGTTGCTAACCAACAACATATATTCTCTTTATATATATTTCTCAGGTCTCAAATTCTATTAAAAAGGGAAGAATGTTCAAAATTATTTTTATTGATTGGTATAATATTAAAGTGGAAACAGACCCCATCTACCTTGAAAGATATGAATTCTTTACATTTTTGCAAATCCCTACTAGGGGAAAGGAGGTGTTCATAAAACATTGGAGACCCTAGATCAGATCATTTATAGGGCTCCTTCAAGTTCTAAATTTTCTCATGCCTTCATTTATACATTAGTCAGGTAATGTACATATATATACATCAGACAGAGTAACCAGTTGATTAAGTTACCAGTGAAAAACTTTTAGATGATGAATGGGATTTCCTCTGACATTTGATGGCCATGCTGGTGAAGCTCTTAGGGTGTTTTCAGGATTAAATAGCCCTGAAGGATGTATTTGCTAAGCTAGAAATGAGAATTAATTCCATGTAAGCTAAAAAGGTAAAAATAACAAAAGGAGGAGGTGGGATTTCTGAATATAATGGCAAAGTGTATACTCCCTGATATCAGACAGACTCTGGCTCTAAGGTCAGCCCTATTCCTGGTTGCCCAAGCCTGACCAAGTTCTTTAACTTTAGGTCAATTTAGTCATCTGTAAACTATAAAATGTGAATAATAGACATATAACCTGTCTAGAGATGTTGTGAGGAGTAAATGAGATAATGTACATAAAATGCATAGGGAAGTACTTAAACATAGTAAGTTTTCAATACATTTAGCTCCATTGTTTCCTTGTGTGATGTTCCTCTAGTAAGGGAATTTAAAGGAACTCTCTGATGGATTTCTTTTCTTTCAGATTTCTGAGGGGAATTCCTGTTTGCTAAGTGAAAATTTACCAAGTGCCAGAATTTCAGTCCAGCTGACTACTAACCAGAATTGTTTAGGTGCTACATCAGTAGGGTAAGTTGATGATGGGGACTCAGAAAGGATACCCTTTTATTCTTGTTTTCTTTTATCATTATAATCATTTATGGAAAATAGCTTTCTGATACTGCACAGATAAATTGCTAAGATTTCTGTTTGAGATTTTATAAAGGACACAAGTTTAAAATGCTTTTCAAAATGTCTCTAATACTTAAAGATTGTCATATTAATATTGGATTATCTCTATTGTTTTGTTGACTTGGGTGAGAATATCTCAAAAACGTATAGCTAAAATTTTATTTAGTTAGGAATTAATTATCTGGCTGCTAGATTAGCCTCCCCTTTCTCCCCTTTCTCCCCTTTCTCTCCCCTCGCATTCCTCCTCACCATTTTAAATCGTTTCTGGTGTTATTCATTATTTATGGACATACATTGGCTAGACAACAAAAAAAAGGCAGTGTAATTGTGCAAAATGAAAAGTTATTATTTGCTGATGTCATCACAATGAAGGCATGTTTGATCTGAGGGAAGATCAAAATGAGCCAGAGACATAACCAGACTCACATGATTAGGGCCATGTAGTTGCATAGCATTTACCTACAGTGCATACCGGGGGTGCAAGGGGGCCCCAGAGCACATCAGCCTACAGATAGAGAGCTGCATGTCTTTGAATTTTTCATCATGCAAAACACTTTTAACATTAAAAAAAAAAAGTTCCAGGGGGAAAAAACCCAAATTAAACAAAAGCACAGTCAAGTATAACTGTAAGAAAGATTGATGTTGCTTTTGCTCTGGAGCCCTCTTGTGGCTAAAAGCATTGGCCACTTGGGGGAGGGGGAGAGTAGAAATGAGAGATTGGAGAGGCTATGCTGGAAAAGAAAGAAGATAAGATCCAGGCAGTCCCTGGTTGATCACACAGCCGGAACAGTGATGGGCATGACATGTGTTTGGACGGTCTCAACTAGTGTTGTCATAGCTGTCAAATATTTCCAATATCATCCCTGGGAGTACCTATCTCCATTTTTCCTTCATTTCTCAATAACTGCAGATGACCAAGAGTTAGCAGATGTTTTTATGCTTTATATATCAATTTGTTAAATCATCTGATTATTTCATGTGCTAAGGTCTAACATGGCTTTATTCATATATTTCAAATAGCAAATGTTTATTTCTTTTCCTTAGATGTCAACCAAATGAAGATAAGTATTCTTTTAAAAGCTGCAGTTCTGATTTCGTGTTTGGAGAAAACATGGTAGAAAGAGTTTTGGTAAGAATTTGGAAATTTTTTCTATTATATAGAAAACTGTCACTTTGAGTTTCTGGAGGCAAATTAATTAAAACAGTGTTAAATTGGAGCATACCTTAACTCCTGAGTTCAGAGCCACATTTTCTTTCTTTAACCAGAAAAATTCTCCTGGGAAGCAAGTTTTAGTTCTTAGAATAATAGGCAGGGATCCACAGAGGAAGGGAATTGTATAATTATAACATTCTTACTGATGAGAAATGTTAAATAGTTCTTTGATATGTGTTACACCCAAAGTACCCAAAAGAATCCCAGAATTGTTTGCAATAGATGAGCTTAACTGGTAATGATATTTTAATATCAGATTTTTGATAGGATCTTTCGTAACAAGATGCATTTAAAATCATTTGCCGGGATCCCTGGGTGGCGCAGCGGTTTGGCGCCTGCCTTTGGCCCAGGGAGCGATCCTGGAGACCTGGGATCGAATCCCACGTCGGGCTCCCGGTGCGTGGAGCCTGCCTCTCCCTCTGCCTGTGTCTCTGCCTCTCTCTCTCTCTCTCTCTGTGACTATCATAAATAAATTTAAAAAAAAAATTAAAATAAATTAAAATAAAATCATTTGCCATTTTTTTCTTGTTAACCACAACCTTCCCCGTCAAGCGTTTATGTGAAAAACATTATAATAACTATTTTTTTTTCTGCAAGCTTTAAGAGGAAAATCATAGTACTTTACTTGCCTAGGGAAATATACTTCCAAGTGCAAACCCCTAACGAGTATTACTAGCACCCCTATTTTGTATTGGAGGTAGACAGCAAAGTGAGGGCTGTGTAGCAGAGGTGCCTGTGGTTTCTTCGGGTCTTTCACATCTTCATACCCTTTCCGGCTTTCACCCAGACCAGAATCTTGGCTGAGATTGGCCAAGGTGGCTAGCTTGCATTAGGACTATTAATCACATCCAGGATCCAGAGGCTACACAGATTTCAAAAACTGCACAGAGGCTCGGAATAGCAAAAGGACCAACTCGTGAGGCCTGTTTATTCCAAATTTTTTAGGGCTTTCACAAATCAACCCCTTTTAAGACTTTTTTTATGCTACACCCACCTCAGGCTAAACTCAAACTCCAAGAGTAGTATCATAGCTCTTTAGCTTAGGCATACCCTGTCACCCTCAAGATGAAGGCCAGCTCCACAGGTCTCGAGCTGGTGACCCACATCTTTGGATCTGAACCAGAATGAACCAGGTTCCAGAGTGGAGTCCCAGGCAATACATTCAGGCACATTTCTTCCGTGTCATTCATTCCTAACTTTGGCACTAGATTAGTCACAGCTTCCGGAAGATGTCACGGACACAACCTTAACTCTCAATTCAATTTAACAAACATATTTTATGTCCTTATGATACCTAGGGTACTGGCGTTGGTCTGAGGTTTGGCTGCATATTAACAATCATCTGCTGAGCCTCTAAAGGATTTCTTAGGCCCGGGCATCTCCCCAAACAGATTAGATCAGAGTCTCAGTTGGCAGGCTAGGTATCAGGTGATTTGAATGTACAGCCAGGATTGAAAAACACCTGGGTGAGTGGTTACACAAATCTAAAGGAGACACTGTGCTCTAGAGGTGCTTATCGTCTAAGGGAGACAGAGACATACCTGAGCAAATGAACTACCGTTGAAATTTGAAATTTGGTTTGAAGAGGTCCTTGTGTACATTTCCTATGGGCACTTTAAATCTGGCTGGCTAAAGGAAACTGAGCTTCCTGTCCCTTTAAATTGATAACGTCCTAGGATAGCAGGAGCTATAGAGATCACTTGTATTTGTCCTCTGGTTAATCCTATAATCCTGTGACCTTGTGACTTGGGGGTCAGAACGCCCTCCTGATTTGTTTGCTGACCATGTGCTGCTCGAATGAGTCATTAAACTTCCTGTGCCCTCGTGTTTATTTCCTTAAAATGGAAATAATCACACCCATCTCTGCCAGTTTTACCAAAATATTTTAAAATACCCAGATGAACTAATGTGGAAGAATTTTGAATTCACAAAGGAAAAGACAGAAGGCTGTTCCGATTCTCCTGGTTCTGCAGGGGGCTCTCCAGGATCATAAATGGCCTGGTAATGACTGGGTCTTTTTTCCCAGGCCTTGATTACAGCACCTGGGCAGGGCACCAGGGGCACAACCTTAAAAGCAACTCTTGGCAGACACTGTCTTAGAGGAAAAGTTAAGATGAGCTCTGAGAGAGTGAGTGTATTCTCTGGGTGACTTTTATTATTATTTTGGATAGAAAGTGAAGTGCTGGGAATATTGAAATACCTTGAAACAGAGATGATATTTGCATCTCCTGCTGGGCATCAGGTTAGTGTGGTGATGGCATCGAACAGTGCTGCTAGACCATCCTTCTGGGTCTCCAAACCTTCTCCCATTGTCCCTGGAATGAGATCCTGCCTGAAGTAGGCTGTAGTGACTAGATGACACTTCCTGAGGATCAGGACCAAGGTCCTCTGATGATAGGAAGAATTCTCCCCCCACCCCCCACCCCCGTTCAAATATATAGGGATGTGATTAAGTAATAGATCTTTTTCCCTCACCTAGGATACTCAAAATCTCACCCAACCTCAACTGGAAAATGATTCACACACTGAGGAAAAACCATTCAAATCCACCCTAGAATTCCCCGTTACCTCTCCAAATTCAAGTAAGAATTATTTCCTTTGTAAAAAAAAAAAAAAAGGAAAAAAACTATTAGCATATTCCTGTTTTGCCCTGTCATTTGTTTAATATCTATGTAATGCAAAAACAATAATGTGGCACTTTAAAACTTTTTGGTAAAGATTAAAGCATACAAATATGGTTGTGCAATACATAAGCTTTCAAAATTTTTTTACTTGTGGATATGAGGAATCAAAGAGATTTATCTAAACTCAAGTAATTTTGCTTCTTGGGAAACACTCATTGTTATAAAAAGCTAAGGAGGGGCAGCCCCAGTGGCTCACCGGTTTAGCACTGCCTTTGGCCCGGCGTGTGATCCTGGAGACCCGGGATCAAGTACTGCGTTGGGCTCCCTGCATGGAACCTGCTTCTCCCTCTGCCTGTGTCTCTGCCTCCCTCTCTCTCTATGTCGCTCATGAATAAATAAATTTAAAAAAAAAAAAGTAAGGAGGCATGTAAAAGGGGATAGTAAAGAGCTTGTGCAGTAGAGAGAATGAGGTCTTTCATGTGTCTTTTCCCCTATTTTTTCTTAGGCACACACTCTATTAAAAGGATATCCCTAATTGAATCAGCTGCTGCTTTCTCTTCTAAGCCATCACCAAAATGCTTGCTGGAGAAAATTGATGTTGTAACAGGAGAAGAAGCAGAGCATAATGTGTTAAAGGTCTGTATATCACATGTTGTTCTTTCTGGCAGCATTAATGTGCATGAAGTCAAGTTTCTACAAGCAGGAATACCTTTAAAAATAAAGGCAGATATATATCATAAAGGGAGACAGAACATGAGAGACTCCTAACTCTGGGAAATGAACTAGGGGTGGTGGAAGGGGAGGTGGGTGGGGGGGTGGGGGTGACTGGGTGACGGGCACTGAGGGGGGCACTTGATGGGATGAGCACTGGGTGTTATTCTATATGTTGGCAAATTGAACACCAATAAAAAATAAATTTATAAATAAATAAATGAATAAATAAATAAATAATAAAGGCAGAAGTATATTTTTCATGAAGTCCGAGCTGCTTCAATAAAAATGTGAAAGGCTTCCAATGACTGAGCTGATATTTTGTCATATACTTACATTAGTATGTGTAATTTTCAGGAAAATGGGTTATTGCGTTAACAACCATTCACGTTCATTTCTTAGAAAGAAGACAGCCAGGTACTCTGTCTTAAAACAAATTCAGACCTATGTTTTATACTTATGCTTGCTTTTATAGTCAGTGCTATCATCCTATGATGTGAAAGATCTACGTACTGTAGGCATTGTAAAAATGATGGTAAGATGAATAGATTTCAGTTCTAGATAATAAAAAAAATTCTGTTTTTCTTTGAAAAGTTCTTTTATATAAGTTTTGGGTTTCATATCAAGCAAGACTTTCAGAGTTGTAGTATACAGTAGCATATGTAGGATTTGAGTGTTGAGCGGCCTACCTATCGGTCTAGGCATGTGAAATCTAATTGCTATGACATAATCATTTTTCAATGAGGTGTAGATTTCCTTTTTCTTTCTCCATCTGCTTTTACCCCCAAATCTCTCCATCTCTTTTCTTTTCTCCCATGATTTACTGATACATATACTATGCATGTGTGCTTCCAGGCATAACTCTCAGGTCAGATTAAACCGAGATTAATTGAAGTAATTGCTAGGGGTGAGGCTCTGACATGCTGTATTTTTATTAAGTCATCTGGGTGATTCTTGTACACAATAAGATTTAATTCTAGTAAGCATTAAATTATAGTACAGTACTCTGTGGTATCACATCCTAGTTCGATGCTGTATTCTTCAAAAATGGTTAGGCATACAAACAATTTCACTATTCCTTTACTTTCACATGTTTCATGGGTCAAATAACATTGAATTTCTTTTTTTTTAAGATTTTATTTATTTATTCATGAGAGACATACACAGAGAGAGGCAGAGACACAGGTAGAGGGAGAAGCAGGCTCCCCGCGGGGAGCCCAATGTGGGACTTGATCCCAGGACCCCAGGATCACTTCCTGAGCAGAAGGCAGACGCTTAACCACTGAGCCACTCAGGCATCCCAATAACATGGAATTTCATTTAAAAGTTGCTACATATAAATATATTGTTAAGTGAAAGGGCACGATGCAGAAAGTATTACGGTATTCACCATTTATAGAAAAATAGAGGGCATAAGTGTTGGCATGTATATACATACAAATATCTCTAGAAGACATTTGTTGCTAATAAACTATTAGTAACAGTGATCACCTGTTCCAGGGGTGGAAATTGACAGATGGTGAAGTAGGGTTGGAAAGGACTTTTCATTTAGTACATCTTTTTGCTTTTTGATATTTGAACTATTCAAAAAATGTATGTTTTAAAAGTTAAATTTTTAAAGCTGGTTTACAAGTCATTAAGAGATGTTATTCTGGTAAAACCAGACATAAAAGTGTTACAACATAGGAAAGAAATCACTTTAAAAGGTTTTCATATATTTGACATTTTAAAAAATTGTCCTTTAGATCAACTGCAAGCTTTTTATATTCAACAAAACAACACAGTCGTGGATTGAAAGGGGCAGAGGAGCTTTGAGGCTGAATGACACAGCAAGCAGTGACTGTGGAACATTCCAGTCAAGACTAAGTAAGGAATCATTTTGTAAAGCAAACCCACTCTTTCTCAGAGTAAAATTTCCAGTAGGTACACATCATTTTCTGGAGTTGTGTTATAAAATAGTCAACAAATCAGACCGTTGAAAACAATGGTTCTTGGTTTTTTGTTTTTTGTTTTAACAATGTTGTTTTTAATGTACTATAGGAGCTTCCTGTTTAGAGCAGGCTCTGATGTCAGACCACACAGGTTTTGGTTCTCCTCTATCATTGACTAACTAGTGACCTTGGACAAGGTACTTAATCTCTCCCTGCCCTAGTTACATCAGTTTAAAATGGGGATAATAGTACTCTGTGACTTATTGACCAACTGAGAACTCAGTGGGCTAATGCATGTTAAGCACCTATGAGAGAGCCCGGGACACACCTAAGTAGTAATCTCCATATTATTTAAAACAATATGATGACATTATTTTTGAAGGAAAAATAGTTTTTCTAAAAGAGAATATTCGTCCTATAGTTTATTCTCGGCATTCTAAACATGGTGTGTGGGTTGAGATGAAGGGTCAGTTTCCAAGGATATAAAGGTGTGTGGTTACTGAATCCTGTATGTGGTTACTGACATCCAGAGCAATGGTAAGAATCTAGAGTCACTCAAACTGAAAGTTTTCGGCACCTGAAGAGACACACTGGGCATCGTTCAGAGGCCCAAACTGAAAGTGAGCACAGGCAGAGATCTGGGTAGGGTGGGTAGGCTTACTGGTCAACACCAGGCAGTCAAAGCTGTGGCAGGGACCACTGGTAGAAGTTGGATCCATGTATGTGGATGTTTTTTGAGCTTCAGATATCAAGCTCGAGAAATCTGTAAGGAATAGAATTCAGACTAAGAGAATAGGAACCATGTCTTCAGTTCTATAACTGGCAAACAGGTTTCTAAATAACCCAACCAAGTAGAATTCCCAAGGCAAGTATTAGTTGTTATCTACTCTTGTTCAATGCCACCCATCCCGCTGCCTGCCAAAATTTGTGATGCATGGTGTTTCTATTGCTGTGTAACCTGACTTTACCTTTTATGTAGTATAACATGATCACCTTTCCACATCAGTAATTATCTTTCTTCCGAATTCTTAATGGATTCATCATATTATCTTGAATAGCCATGTCACCATTTATGTAGCAAATTCCATTTTTTGAACCCTTAAAGCAAAGTTTTCTCCACTGTAAGCAATTCTTGGATAAATATTCTTCAGATCACTAGATCTTCAAAGAAGTTCTAAAATTTTAATCCTAAAGAATTCCAGCTTTTAAGCTAAAAATAGTCCTCTAACATCATAAAGCCCTATTTGAAAACTGATAATCAAGCCAAATTACAACTTTTTTTTTTCTTTTAAAAAAAGACTTTCTTCGTAGAGACACAGAGAGAGAGGCAGAGGGAGAAGCCGGCTCCGTGCAGGGAGCCTGATGTGGGACTCGATCACACCCTGGGCTGCAGGCGGTGCTAAACCGCTGCGCCACCGGGGCTGCCCCAAATTACAACTTAATAGTAATATTTTCACTAGTGATATTTCACTGTATTTCAGTCTGAAAAACAACTATAAGATTTACTTTGCTTTCAAAAATGCAAATTCCCCAGGAAGGTCAAAGAATCAACTGTTCTGTAGTCTTATATATTCATCTTCCCATTTTAGTTATGCGCAATCAAGGCAGCCTGAGGCTGATTCTCAATAGCAAACTCTGGACTCAAATGGAGATTCAAAGAGCAAACCACAAAAATTTGAGAATAACAGCGACTGACTTAGAAGACTATAGCATCAAAGTGTTTTTAATTCAGGTAAGTGACAAATTTCAGTAATAGAGAATTATCTTACTGTATTTCTAGATCTCTGCAATTGCTAATTTGTTTAATTTCATTGTAACCTGCACTACTGGCCAAGAAAAAAAATCAGCCATTCATTTTGGTTGTTTACAGTTTAATATAACACCTAAATTTTATATGACATTTACAGATTAACACCAAAATCTATAGTAATCAATTGGTATATGTCCCAAGACATTTGTATTGGTATATATGCTTCAAACCTTCACATTTTTCTTTACCACTGAAACTATGTCAACAATTCTACTCAGTGACCAAAGAGACTTTTGTCAAGATTGGCTCCTAGGAGTCCAGTGGAATACACAGCCCAGTGCTTACACTGAATGCTGAAATTGAGGTGGCTTTGAGATCCCTGGAAAGAAACCAGTGAGAAATGGAAAAACACAGGGCTACTAAGTTAAAACAATCAGTCCAACAGCAAATTCCAATTCTGGACATGAGTCAGTCTCCAAGGTAACAGGATGGGAGCAGAGCTTTAGCTGTTCCTGGCAGCAGGAATGCTTGACCTCAAATATAAGATCTAGGCACAAAAGAGAGAGAGCTGGCAGGGATCAGACCAGAAGAAAGGCTAGGTTTCCCACATGGGCTGAGACCCAGAAGATTGGAGAAGACTGAGTACTCACATGACTCGAGCAGGAGGTAACAATACAAGTAAATTAGCTTCCGTATAATGAGTAAAAAAGGTGGCAAGTACCCAGTGATGAAAAACCACAGGTCTTATTAACTACCAGTAAGTGCACTGTTAGGTGTAAGTAATGTTGAGTATTGAGATGTTAGAGTAAGATAATGCCCAAACATTATTTACCAGTTAGGGAGACAATATTTGATACCCTGCCAGGCTGGATCTCCTAGCTTAGAGTGAGTAAAGCAGCCAGCCTGCCTGCCACCGATACTGAGATTGAGACCATTAGCTAGATGGGATTCTGCTGTTCAATATCTGACCCATGCTGGCTCCATAAATTGTAGGATATTTGCTAGAATAACAAACTAAATGCAAATAACTTCCATTCCCAGAGATGGTCACTATTAATGTTGTCATATTTTAGCATATATGTGTGTGCATAAATATGTATATACGGTACAAACTGTATGATCTTCAGACAGGTCATTTAGATTCCTTAACTTGATTTTACTCCTCTGCCAAATAAAGATATTAACAATATACTTGTGGTTGAATAAATTAGATAGCTAATATTTGATTATGAAGTACACATATATAACCTTTTCACTTATCAATGAAAATGAGTGTTTTTGTGGCATTAAATAGCTCATTCTTCAAAAGTTCTTTTAACGGGTGAAAAGAATTCTGTTATGCACCATAATTTATTCCATTAATTCTACTCTGTTAAATAGGTAATTTATGTCTTTCATTATTATAAATTCTGCAAGAAAGACATGAGGAATTCTCTGTGTACATACACGTTAATTTTCTCGAGATAAGGTTTTGACTTGTCTTGACAAGTTTCTCTTCAGAAAGACTGAATCGATTTTCATTCCCACCAGCATTTTCTTATGGTACTTCCTGGGAATTATAATATTTTTAAGCAGTGATAATTTGTTATTCAAAAAAAGTATGACATTGTGATTTTATTTTTAATTTCTTGTTCTGAATTTCTTGAATGAAAATATCTGAATGAGTTTGCCAAATGGCAATATATTGACTGGTGGAAGGTATATTTAAATTTTAATGTTAGAAAGTCAAGGTGGCAGAGTAGTATTTATATTTCAGTTACAAATGCCCTTTCAATATTTATTAACTTACTAAGGAAAAATTACACCTTTGCACATAATGTAAAAATTAAATCCTTTGGGAGTGAACAACTATTTTCTAAACATCTACTATATAATACTTAGCACAATATGAGGAACGAAAATATTTTATTTAACTTATAGTTATTTTCCTCCACAGTAATTAAGGGAAATTAAGAACATGCAAATGAAAAAATAGAAATGAAGACTCTTCTCCCCAAAAGTTGGCATGTAGTTTTTTCAACCCTCAGTTCTAGACTTTGAAAAGTAAGACAGCTTTCTGGAGGGGTAGCAAAAAGAAAATTTACCTAGATTCTCTTTGAAATTGTGAAAGGATGCAAAAATGTAAATTACTGCCATGTTACCTTGAAAGAGCACTGACTTTGATGACAAAGATCTGAGATTTGAGCCCAACCAATTTGCTGACTAGATAAGTAAATCCAAGCAAGTCACTGTAACTTTCTGAGCCTTAATCTCATCTGTAGAGACATGAGGGGAATTAGTATGTATTGACTACTTGTGCTGTGCACATTTGCTTATATAAATGAAATAAATAGTTAACTCATAGTTTTATAGTAAGGATTGAATAAAAAGTAACGTAGTAACCATAATGATTATACCAATGATATTGTTACCATCATTTTTTATATTAACAGCATCCATAAAACAGCATAGAAAAGTACTGAAAGCAAAGACTTCTGATGTATTGATGATACAATATCATAAGTGTGACTGTGTGGTGTAATGGAAAGTACCCTGGGCTTCTACAGTGCAATATTATAGATTGCTATAATAAACTCTGCTTTTCCACTGAGCTGTGAAGCTTGCAGGGGAGATCTAAACACAGTTATGTAAAGGAAATGGAGGGGTTTTTTCATCCACCCTAAAATTTCCTACAGTGTAAAATAGTGGAGGAAGGATAGTCTTAAATTCAAATAGAAATTTTAAATCACAAAATTTCTTTCTCAGTTTAAATGCACAAATTGGGACCTGTTATAAAATTATTCACTTTCAGAATCAATTTGGTTCAAGATGAATGGCTTTTTACTCTTTATTTTTTAGGGTTATTTAGATTCTAGATTTATGCCATGTAATTCCTTCCTCATTAATAGTGAAAGATTAAAAATCTCTAAAATGTGGCTATTAAGTTATTTATACTCTTAAGATTTTATTTATTCATTTTTAGGGGGGAGGGGCAGAGGGAGAAGGGGAGAGAGAATCTCAAGTAGACTCACACTGCGTGGGGAGCATGAGGCTGGATCCCACAACCCTGAGATCATGACCTGAGCTGAGATCAAGAGTCAGCAGCTTAACTGACTGAGGCACCCAGGGGCTCTTATTTTTATTCTCAACAACTTAATTTTCCTCATGCAGGCCAGTGCCAAAGACACAGGATGTCTGTATGCAGCAATACATCATCGGCTTGTTGCACTTCGAAGTTTTGATAAACAGAAAGATCTAAATCAAGCTGAAAGCCAGTCAGAAACAATCCTCCAACAACTAAACTGCGAAAGCTGTGACGAAGATGAGGATGATTTCATCCAAGTCACTAAAAATAGATCAGGTAAATAGCTTTTCTTAGTTAGAGATTTAAGAAAGAAATCTTCTGCACAATCCTAATATATGAAATAGATTTTTGTAAAGTGGAACTGATCTATTTAAAGTGGATGGGAATTAGAGTCCTCACTCTTTGGATCAGAGGAGTGGGTTTGGAAATCACGGTCTTCTATATGTGGCCTTCATTAGGATTTTGCTAAAAGTCATCCTCAGGGTGATGCCCGTATGTCATTTGCACATAAATTTAATAAAAATACCATAAAGTCGTATGCTGGTACACTGAAATTAACCATTTATTCATATTTCTCTTCACTTGCTCTCATTTTCCTATTATTGGCTATAATAGAAAAATCATAAATATGTTATAAAGGTAATAAACACATTACAGTGGAGCCCACCAGACAAATCTGGCTTGAAATGCTGAAACTCCCGTTTATCTCCTTTTTGGAATTTGCTCAAGGACTTTTTTTTGCCTAGGGCAAAAGGTATTCTTTTTTTTATTGTGTCAGGATTCATGAATTGAGCAAGGTTAAAGTGGAACCAGTAGTTAGCAGATTTTTAGGCTTCAATGCTTGTCCTGGTGAGTAGATTTAAAACAAAAATTTATCATTATTTTTGGAGAGAAACGTTGTCAAGAAAATATTAAGCCCAGTTTTGTTATATAAATGGTGCCAAGTATTTTCAGTAATAGTTTCATTTAGGCCTGAATTCTCCTCTACAGAGAACTGAGTAACATATTTACAATGACAGTGTGTGAGCAAGCATTTTTTCCAACTTTTAATCATTTTATATCTTAAAGGTAACTTAATCATAATTTAAGAATCTATCAAAGTACATGTGCAAAACTTGATGAAAGATCTTCCTTTGTCCAATACTAAAAATGTACTCAAGAAGAAGAGGGCACAAAATGTGCAGATTAGGATTATAAACTGCTTGACTCAGTGAGCCAGAGAACTAAGTGAATATGATTTTTCTTGTCGCTACTAAACAAATGGTTTCTTACTCTTTAAAATGTGTGAGATGTATAAGTGATATTTTATATTGCCAACAATAAAATAGGATCTAACAGAAAATGAATTGGTATCCATTAGAAATATTAACATGAAATAAGGATTCAATGGCAAAATTCTCTCATCAACAAAATCACACTTATGAAATCTATACTTTATTCCATTTTAGGAGAGTAATATCTTCATACAAAATGAGAAACAATGGAAATATAATGCAAAGTAAATGACAATCGTATGAACCCACCCTTCCTCTGTCATTTTTCCCTTTTCACACAGGAGGTGTTGCATACAAATGCTAAGCTGTTACGAAAGCAATAAAAAGTCTAATCTTTTTAAACTGTGCTGCCCACAAGTTAAGGGTTTAATTATCTGAAAATGTCATGTTTAAAATTAGCAACATTTCCAAACGTTACGTGTAAAATGTAAATTCTATATATTGCATTTCCTCACAGTAAGCATATTCATGCATGTTCATGTTCAGTTGTGTTCAATATTAAATCTAATCTGGATATAACATTTTATAATATTTGAAATTTATATCACAGATCCTTCTAGGTGGACCCACAGACAGTCGGTTGCCTGTTCATGAGCGCTATCTACTATAAACATGACAACATCTACAAAAAGATTGGTCATCTTACTGAAAATACTAAACCATCTTAACTAAATAAGAAGATCCGATTCATTCCTTGAAGTTTTTATAGTAAAGTTCATGAAATATAATTTGTTGCAATTAAGATTTTTCTCTATATAGTCTAATAATTGCAAGATTTTACATTTTGATTATTGTGGAGAAAATGACGGAATTTAAGAAATACATGGACTTTGGAAGTTCAAAATTTATCATTTTTGAAGAAGCTAATTTAGAATAGGATTTGATAACTAATTTGGACTATTCATCACATTGGTGGATATAATAGTTAAAATAAATGGCTGGATTTGATAAATACCTAACTAAAATATTTTTTCAGTCATACATAGTCTGGTTATAAAACAAATATTTTACAAGATTTCCAGTCATTTCTTCCAAAACACTGTAACTGCATGCTAACATTTCATGAAGTCATGTTTCTCTTCTGGGAAATGTGTATTTTCATTTAACCTTTGGATTTACTAATACTATAATACTATTATATATTCATGGTGTGAATTCCTTTAAAGATAGTATTGTTCTTGGACCTGTATCCATTGTACCTTGTATATGCTTGACTCCAGTTCAGCATCCAGTAGTTGTTGAAAGGATGAGCAAAATACATTATCTATGTAACAAAACAGTAAGTATACAGAAAGTAAAATATGTTAACTTGTTTTGTTTTATGTAATTAAATTGTCATTAATAGTCTAATGGTTGTAGCTGTATAGTGACCTTTTTTTAAAAAATATATATATATTCATATATACCCAAATTAATTTTTTTAAATGCCTTTGTTGTGGTAGACCATAATGATTTCAACAACTGTACAACAACGTTTGGATGCTCCTCTTTTTGAGATTTGTCTCAGAGATACTTCACAAGTTACTTATAAAAATTAGTGCTTATAGCCATATTTCATTTTTCAATCCAGTTTGATCAAATGGACTTCAAATGACTTTTAATCATGACTTCTAAATATTCCCTTGTTAGAGGCATTTTAGTCTTCTCAGGTGCCTTAACAAAATACCACGCTGTGCAGCTTCAACAATATAAATTTATTTCTCACAGTTCAAGAAGTTGATGATCAAAGGGTCAACAACACAGGTTTCATTCTGAGGCCTGTGCTCTTGGTTGTTGGCTCATGTTCTCACAGGACCTCTTGGTGGGAGCACAGGCAAAGAGAGAGAGCAAGCTCTCTAGTGTGTCTTCCCATAAGAGCGCTAATCCCATTAGACTAGGGCCCCACCCCCATAAATTTATCTAACCCTAATTAACCTCCAAAGCCCCATCTCCAAATTCAATCACATTGGAGATTAGGGCTTCAACGTATACATTTGGGAGAGAATATAAACATTGTCCATGTTTAAACTAGGAAATAAGATTTACAATTCCAAAATGATTTCCGAAAAATTTTTCAACAATGACAACATATTTGGAATAACGAGTATAACTTCACTAAATGCTACTTTGAAGAACAATATTCATTTGGATATATACATGTGAATACACATTTTTTAAAAGTTACGTTATTTTGTTACAGTACCTTTTATAGTAATAAAAGCAATTATATAGATTCTTACATATAGATATGGATACAGTCAAACCTGAGCTAATGCCTGATAGTTTTGCATATGAAAGTTGAATTAACTCTTTTAGACTGTAATTTGGTTAGTATATAAATCATTCAGGGTTTTGCTCTTTCCTCATAACTGAGTATTAACTTAGTAAAAGTTAACTATTAACTTTTAGGCCATTCATTTTAGAGAATATAAAAGAAACACAGCATCCTTCTAAATTAAGCAATGATTCAGGAAATGGAAAAGAAAAGTTAATGTGAGAGAGGAATAGAGAAAAGGTTGAAGGGGAAAAAAATTTAAAAAAACAGCTTTAGTGTAAAAGGAAGAATAAAAACAATGGGAAAACAAAAGTTTAAAGTTGGTTGGGGTATCTTAACCCCCAAAAAAGTGCCTTTGATGTAGAACACAGTGGAAAATTTCTTTAGAAGCTAAAATAAACAGGAAGACATCTGGAGAAGAAATTAAAGAATTGGTTCTCTTTTCCTGTAGGATCTTAGCTGATACAGGAACATTGTGATTTCACTAAATCATTAAAGTGAAGCAGAGAACAGAGATCTTCTTTATCTTCTTGATATGTTCATTCTTGCCCTGACTTGAGGGTGAAGATAAAGCAATATTTTCTCAATGCCTCAAATATTTTAATATCATTTGAATTCATTCTTTCTTTCTGTGATCTTTCTTGTACTTCTCTGCATATACCAAACAAAAAAAATTAGACTACTTCAATTACTTATCTATACATTAATGCCAGTATAAAAAATAAAAAAATAGTATTAAAATATCAGGAAGGCGGAGAGAAAAAGAGTGAAAAATTCTGGATTATGACACGATTACCAACAGCAGAAACTTTTTATTTAGCTTATGACTTCCAAATATTTTTCTGTCCACACTATTATGCCTTCTCATGAGCATTATGCAAATATTTAGTAATATTTTGGAGGGGGTAATAGAAGTAGGAACATCTTATACTTTCTTTTTTGCCCTCTATCTTCATTTAGCCTTCTTCTTTTTTGGTTTTTCTACAGACTTTGACCTCTCTTTAAGGTGAAGAGATCATCATACAATGAAATAATTTTCATAAGTTTTTAGGTAGACAATTTCAAAGCATAACTCTTAGATTTTGATAGAAGCTGCTTTTGTAAAATTTAAATATTTCCCAAATGTACTAGATATACATTTAATATATCCAATTATATATCTCTTATATTCAAGTAACCTTAACATTCTTTTTTTTTTTTTAACATTCTTCTCTTTCAACAAGGCTTTAGACTCTACTAAGCTATTCAGCTTAATTATGGACCATCAACACATTCTCTATTAAAATATTATTTTACATCCATTACTGCCAAAGCCAGGAATCCTTTGACTCCAAGGATTAATATACAAGTCTTAGAGTATGTGGATGTCATTTTAAAAGGGGAGGGAGTTTATCTTTCATAGTGTCAGAATGTATGTGGGTTGGAGGGGGCTCTAGGGATTGGGAAGGATACATCTTAACCTTTGTAAGCCCTCAAATTGTGAATATCACAATGATACATAATTTGCTCCATAAAATGTTGAAAACAAATAAACTTCTTGAGATGTGGTTATGAGGTGGTTGGGTAAGCTCACCTACTATAAAAGTACACCAGCCCTGCCATAGATGGGGTTTGAATTTGAAACTCAGTAACATAACTGATTATTTTAGTAGTTTGAGAGTATTGAAACTCATATTAAATCCACAAATGCAAGCACTTTGTTTTGCAATAGGCAGGTCACACCTACAGTACTGCATGATTTTTGACATCAGACTTAAGAGTGGACAAACTGGAAACATGAACACATTTAAAGTTTCTAAGACAGTATTTGGAAAACCATGGCATTGGAGAAGTTATTGAAATAACTGGCAAATGTGTAGCCTAATAAAGATTTGATGTAATAGTTTCCAAACAATTAGAAGTTTGCCAAAACTTAATTTCTGCCAAGCTAGTGGATATAAAAGACTCAGTGAAATTACCTTCATTTGCATTTTTCTAATTCTAATAAGGTTGAGTATCTTTCAGGCATTTATTCTCTGCTTGTTTCTTCTAAGAAATTCCTGTTTGTAATCTTTGCAAAGCTAAGCATATCATTTTCCCCTCTTAGTGGCTTCTTAGAATATGCAGGATAAAGGCCAAGTTCCTAAGCATAGATAGAACACTTTCCACGTCTTTCCCCCATCTGCCTCCCTAGCCTCACTTCCCACTGTGGCCTGCCTCCTCTAAATTCTCTAGCAATTCAGAACTGCTGTTTCATTGCTCCATACTTCGGTTCACGCTGTTTCCTCTGTGGAAATCCTTACTAAAACAAGGTGCTGGAATAGCGGGAAGAGGAAGGACCTTGAGGATGTTCCAGTTATAGATGAGTAATTCACACCCCATAGAAGTTAAGAGATGATTCCATGTTCAATGCAAGTCGCTAGGAGCACCTGCTGTGAGACAAAGCTCCTGGACAGAAGGGATCAGAGACCTACTAAAAGCAGACATCAGCCTCCACTCTGTATTTCCTATTCTAATATACTACCTGGCACACAGTAGGGACCCCATAAATATTCGGTGAACCGATGAATGAATGAATGCTGGTGGCGGCGGCTAGCTGAAAAGCAAGAGTCCTGATTCAGAATCAATTGGGGCTTGATTGAACCTTGGTATCACTCTAGTTAAACACCTTCATTTTATAGATAAGGAAGCTGAGGCCCAGCAAGATGAAGTGACCTGCCCAAAGTCCACGGGCTCGTAATACTGATGATGCTAGGACTAAAAGAAGCAAAGAAGGCGCCCAAACAGGTGGATGTGGGCAGGAGGAGGGATGAGCAGGAGGACGTAGACTGCCATTTGATGCAACCCTTAACGACGGGAGCGTTTTCTTCCACTTCTATTACCAAGTCAACGCAGGGCCACGTGTAACTCTTCCATCAGGGCCAAGTGTCCTTCCTCCTCTTGCCTCCCACTCCACTCAACAGGCTCAAGCCAGATAAACTGCTCATCACGGTTTAATGGGCTCCCTTCTTTCCAGTTAAAAGCCTTCCAAACGCCGACTCCTACCTATAATGAAGCCCAGAAGACTAACACATTCTTCACCTTTCTCTCTTGACCTATCTACTCTTTCAATCTTCTCTCCCCATCTAGAAATGCTCCGCTTGGCCAGATTCCTCAACCCATCACCCTCTAGTTTCCTCAAAGGCCAACTCTTTCCCACTCTGGGCTGACACTTTTGGGGTTGTCCGCTGGGTGCATAACTTGCGTAGTCCCACCAGGCGTCCCACCAGGCGTCCCACCAGGCGTCCCACCAGGCGCCTTGCTTAGATGGGCCGGGCACGCGGCTCACTGCCTCTGTCTTGCAATTCTCAGTCACTTCCGAACCAGAAGCTCTGCATCTGCACTCCGCACGAGCCCGCCCAAGCGGTGCGGACGGTCCTCGCTCCGTCTCCTGGACCGCAGCCCGGCGGGGGTCGCATCGGCCATCCGACTGGGCTCGGCGGAACGAAGGACTAAAGGATCCAGTCCCGTGTGCGATGATGAAAGCGTCTGGTTTCACACCGTCCGGTCAGGTGCAATCAGGAAACCCAAGCGAGGAGGTGCGCGGAGGCACCTGCTCTCCCGCCCGGCGCTCGAAACCCCTCCCCCGGGGCCCCCCCACGCCGCTTCAGACCGGTTCCAGCTGGATTCCTACGGCGGCCCAGTCGCTAATTAGAATTCCAGCCCTTCCTCCGGCCGCAGCCAATCCCCGCAGCTCCTCGGGCTCCGAGCCGCGGCCGGCTCTGATTGGCTCACAGCGCGGGGGGCGGGCGGGCGGGATTGGTGGCCGCCCAGGGAAGGGGTGGGGCAGGCGGTGGGCCCCACCCCCCGCGCGGCGCCGCGGCCACTGCGCAGGCGTGGATGGACTCGGCGCCGCTAGCACGGCAAGCCCAGCCCCCCGAGGCCTCCGGCTCTTCCCCGCCCACCCCTCCCGGGGCTCGGGCTCTCCCGCCGCCCCGTCGCCCGGCTTGCCCCGCCCCCGCCAACGTCTGGGCACGTCCCCCTGGCGGCGCGGGCCACGCACGGCGGTGCACTTAACCTGTCCCCGCCCGGCGCGGAGCTGGAGGCCGGGGCGGCGCGGCGGCGGGCAGTGCCGGTGGCGGGCGGCGGAGGCGGGAGCCCGGGCCCGCAGCCCCGCGGGGCGGAGGATGACTTGCTACCGAGGCTTCCTGCTGGGCAGCTGTCGGCGCGTGGCGGGCGGCCGGGCGGCGGTGCTGAGCGGACCGGGCGCGGGAGGCCCCACGGCGCGGCCGCGGCTCTGCGGGGACGGCGGCGGCCGGCGGCAGCTGGGGCCGGGGCAGCCGCGCGAGCTGGCGGGCTGTGGCAGCCGCCCCGAAGGCGGCTTCCGCCCGTCGCGGGTGGTGGTGGTGGCCAAAACCACCCGGTACGAGTTCGAGCAGCAGCGGTACCGCTACGCGGAGCTCTCGGAGGAGGACCTGAAGCAGCTGGTGGGTCCCCGGCGGCCCCCCGTGCCCCCCAGGCCCGGCCGCGGCTGCGCGGGGCGCCGAGACCCCTCGGGGCCAGCCTTCCTCCCCGGCGCCCTGGACGCCCGGACGCCCGGCTCGCCGCGCTCGGCTCGTAGACCCCCCTCCCCCCCCCGCCTCCCGCCTCCCGCCTCCCGCCTCCCGCCTCCCGCCTCGTGTGTGCGCGTGTGCCGAGGGGCGGGGGTCACCGGTACTGCGGGGACCCCCTAGTCGGGGCGGAAGGCTCGGGAGCGGGGAGCAGGAGCTCCCAGCGGGCAGGGCTTGGGCATCCATTGGAGCCGTCTCCAGCCCCACCCCCTGCTCTCCCCTTTGGGAATAGCAGCCACAGCCCCGAGGAAGGTGGGCCGCTGGCTGAACGTCTGGACGCTCCGGCAGCAGCTCCCCAAGTCTCCGCGGGGAAAGGGGGGCCCCGGGGCGCCGCGGCGGGAGGTGGGGGAGAGGGCGAAGGTACCGCGGACACACCCCCTTTTACCCTGCAGGACTGCGAGGCCTGGGATACCCCGGAAAGCCGGCCTGGGCGAGCCTTTTCCGTGATGGAACGTGGTCGTCAGACAAGGTTCTGGCAGTTTGTTTTAAAAGCACACGTGTTTTGGATTCAGGCGACAGGCGACAGCGAGGGAGAAAATTTGACTTCGAATATGTTCCTACGGGGAAAGGGCGAGAGGGAGGGCAGGAAGACTCGGGAATCATGCAGTAAATAGCCCATGTCCACGCACAGCAGAGGCTCCACCACAGAATGTGTTTAGTGCAGATATTAGTATCTTTGCAAAAGTATGTAAGTCTGTCCAAGAAAAAAAAAAAAACGTGAATATCCCTCTCTCTGTCCCTTTCTGAAACTTTTTTTTTTTTTAAGATTTATGTATTCATGAGAGAGAGAGAGGCAGAGACATAGGCAGAGGGGGAGGGGAGCCTGATGTGGGGCTCCATCCCAGGCCCTGGGGAGCCAAAGGCAGATGCTCAGCCACTCAACCACCCAGGTGCCCCACCCCCTTCGAAACTTCTGATCCCTTGCTCCCTGTGCATGAACTTTAGGAAAAGGAGCGTTAAGATGCTACCATGAACAATATGGAAATCTCTAAGTGTTGATACTCTGCACCATAAAGCTTTGGAATTAGATGCCTAAAACCAAATCTTGTAGAATTCTGTACCAGAGTAGACAGCCTGTTTTTTAGACTTCTGGTATGGTTTGTAATCTTCAGATTTTTCCTGTTTTATGCAGGTATCAAAGTGAAGTTGCAAATCATCATGTCTGCTTAAGGACTATTTTCAGCATTAAACTTCTTGATACTTTAATGGGTTAATTGAGGAGGACCCCTGCTTTCATTAGATGGAAGTGCTAGGTGCCGGTTTGTTTTTTTTTCTCCTTTCCTTTAGTGTTTGAAGATGTAGCAATTTATAGAAAAGAAATGCATCATTTAAAAAGAGTAGATCAGTTTGAGTAGGAAGTTGGAGTAGTGAAACTGGGGGCGAGGCAGGGAATAAGAATGTCAGAAGCAAGCACATTGTTTCTGTGTTGGGAAAGAGGTGTGTTCCTTGGATTGTACTCCCGGTTTTGCAAGATACACTTTTTAGAGATTGTCAAATATATGTGTTGTAAATATGTTCTTTATACAGTTTTATGAAAACCTCTCAAAAACAGTTTAAAGTAGTATCCTCTGGCCTGTTTGGGGTATAGGACTGAGTGTAGGATCTTGGAGTCCTCTGCCCATTTCTGTGTTAACTTCCTACGGGCCTTTTTAACTTTTGTGGGGTCATGTGTGACAATGATAAATGCCTTTCTGTAGAACGGTCAGGGTTTTTCAAAGTGCTTTTGCCTAGTTCGGTATGTTAAATAGTAAGGTTGGGCAAGATAGCCTCCAAGGCTATCTTTAGTGCTAGCGTTTTTTAGTGCTAGCGTTTTGAAACTCCGGGTAACTTTTCAAGGCCTCAAGAAAATGAGTGTTCTCTAAATTAGATTAATTCTAGGACCTCTGAACTAGATTGCCACTAATGAGAACTTTTAAAATGTAGGCAAATCAATAAGTCTTTAGAAATTGAACTACCTAGTGTACCCACTCTGAGTATCTAAAAAGAGAAATCTCTAATAGGTAAATATTTGTCTTTGGCTAGGATTGCTGTTTGGGATAAGAAAACTTTTGAGTTAAAATTTCTGTACCATAGAACACATTGTTTTGTAATTGCAAGGCAAGTGAAATAGTTGTTGTCATTTCATTTACATATTATTGGCTTAGCTCCTTACTGATGTGAGTTTATTTTACCATTTGTATTAAAGCCAGTACTCAAAATGGAATAGCATTAGGTGGAGTCCAGGCCAAATAATACCGGGCTGTGTAAAGTTGTTCTCAAATGGGATTCTGTGGTAGGCCTGATAAGCTGGTTAATATTGTTTGCTATTTTGCTGGGGTAAAAGATACTGAGTTATATCAATCATGTGGATTGGATATAAAAGAAAGTGGCCATGTGCTTACTTTAGTGTCTGGCACCATTCCTCTTGTGTCTACAGTGTCATGGTAACCTGAAGCTTTGTATTTGAGTGTTCTCATTTGTTGTGGAAGTGGTGGTCTTCTTGCAGAATAGGTATCTGTTAGCTTATTTGTAAACATTTAAATAGAAGATGAAGGATGGAGTGTCAGTGGAATTTTACACCCTCAAGCATCATGAGTCTCTCACTTTGTGGAAACTTAAACCAATAGGGGAAATACTTCTTAGTTGTTAAAGCTTGTACAGAGTAGGTTTCTGTCTTTCAAAGTCGGTCAAAGTCTGACTTCCAGTTCTCTTTCATATTGGTTGCATTGCTTTATTTATTCTTTTTAAAGATTTTATTTATTAATGAGAATACACAGGGAGGAGAGAGAGAGAGAGGCAGGCAGGCAGGCAGGCAGGCAGGCAGGCAGGCAGGCGGGGCAGAGACACAGGCAGAGGGAGAAGCCGGCTCCATGCAGGGAGCCTGATGTGGGACTCAATCCCGGGTCTCCAGGATCACACCCTGGGCCCGAAGGTGGCACTAAACCGCTGAGCTACCCGGGCTGCCCCGTGTTGCTTTATTTTTAAATCTTGACATGATGTTTCCTGTGAATTTCTAGTCAAGGATTGTACCTCTCCTGGCTCACTACCTTGCAAGGACTAATTAAACTATTATTGTGATTTACTTACATCAGAAGAGATGCAGCTGTTGGCAAATGTGGAATTTTTATTAATAGGGTCCATGACACTCAACAAATTGCATCTTTAGATGAATCAAAGCTGATTGGAAAGGATTTTGTCATTGTAAACATGCTTTATTGGCCAAAGAGTAGGTTTTATTTAAAAATATTTTAGTATAAGGGGATCCCTGGGTGGCTCAGCGGTTTGGCGCCTGCCTTCAGCCCAGGGCATCATCCTAGGGCCCCGGGATCGAGTCCCGTGTCAGGCTCCCTCCCTGCATGGAGCCTGCTTTTCCCTCTGCCTGTGTCTCTGCCTCTTTCTCCCTCTCTCTGTGTATCTCATGAATAAATAAATCTTAAAAAAAATATTTTGTTATATACCGAATAAGACATGAATGGTTTCCACCCTTCTCTCCCTCCACCCCAACCCCAGAAACAACCCTTTTTAAGGTTGCCATTTTTATTGTTTTTAAAATTATCTTTAAAATGGGATAGAATAATTTCATTTTGCAGTCCCTCTATTACTGGATTAAATTATTCCTAGTTATTACCTTCTTAGCATATTTAGGAGATATAGCACCTTGGATTTTGTTTCCCTTACTGGGTATCATGAAAATGATAGTGTAGCTTAGGTTATAATTCTTGGGCAGATACTTTTGCCACATGGTGTGCAAGGAGTGTAGTCTATGTGAATATTTATCAAATTAAAGAACATGATCTGGAGTACTTCCAGGGCCTTCTAACAGAATCTCACTCCTTTCAAATCTTTCAGATACAGGCACCAAAGTCGTTTATCTAAAGTGAACATCTGGCCACTTTACTTCTCTGTTTAGAACTACTCAAAAGCTCCATATCACCTAGGAAATTTGCTAAAATGGGGATGCCTGAACATTAGCACCTCAAGATTCTGATTCAGTTTATGGAGACTCCAGACTCTACCTTTCTGAACCACACCCGGAAGTTTGCTGGGTCTGTCCAGGGATCTGCATTTTTAACCAGCTCTCCAGATTTGCAAGTG